GGGGTCCCTGCGCGGAGAAGCTCCTAGTCTGGGGGAACACTGATGAGAAGGCCGAGAGAGAGAAAGCCTTCTCTTGGAGCTGACACCCTGAATTTGGACTTTTAGCCTACTTTAACTGTGAGGAAATAAACTTCTCTTCGTTAAAACCATCCACTTGTGGTGTTTCTGTTATAGCAGCACTAGATGACTAAGACAGGCTATCATCACCGACTACTCTGACAGGGATCACAATAGACAGTCCCGGACAGAGCTGGAGAAAAAAGTAGAACAAAATTCAAATTCACAAAAAACAAAAAAAGATCAGACTTGCTGGTCTGACAGAGACTGGAGAAACCCTTGAGAATATGGACCCTGCACACCCTTTTAACTCAGTACTGAAGTTACTCCTGAGGTTCACCCTTCAGCCAAAGATTAGGCAGGTCTATAGGGCCAACAACGTGCTTCATAGTTCAGTCATGTATATGAGACTAATTGGCACACTAGCCCAAAAGCAAAGAGGAGAAGACAGGAAGGGACAGGAAAACTGGATGAATGGAAACAGGGAACCCAGGGTGGAGAAGAGCAGAGTGTTGACACAGCGTGGGGTTGGCAGCCAGTGTCACGAAACAACTTGTGTATTAATTGTTTAATGAGAAATTAATTTGCTCCGTAAATTTTCACCTAAAGCACAGTTAAAAAAAAAAAAAAAGAAGAAGAAAAAGAAAAATCTAACTTTAGAAGAAGTGAATAAGTATCAAATGCTGAAGGAGGAAAAAAAAGTTATTCTTTTTATAACGTTTGCATTCCATTAATGCTTCCTTTCAATAGTTCTGAAATATTTTAATTTTAACAACAGATTTACTAAATATCCCTACTCAGGGAATTTTCAAGTAATCCAAATAGCTATTTAAGAAAACCAGTAACATTCATCCAATTACCTCTTTACCTAACCAAAAATTGTTTTAATTCCTCGTGTGATTGTAAAGGAAAAAAATTTAAATCCAGCATCCCTCTAATTTTAAAAGTCAGATAACAGAAGTGTTCAAGGATTTCCTTCATCTCTTGGGAAACAGAAACTTAAACACAACCTTTGTACAAATGCCTTATGGTAGAGAGGTCAAAGATTCTCATATGCTTGTAGTCAGGAAATGAAGGCAATTTTAAGGGAACTTTAAAAGTACAGGTAGAAGTAGCTTCATTTCATTCGTATTTCTCACTGATCAGGAAAGCCAATAACTTTCAGGACCTCTAAGTGAGAAGGCTCTGATCCTTAAATAATTTGGGTGGGGGCAAACTGAATTCAAGGAGCCCTGGTGGCACAATTGGTTAAGCGCTTGGCTGCTAACCAAAAGGTCTGTGGTTGGAACCCACCCAGGAGGAAATACCTGGCAAGCAGCTCCTGTAAAGATTCCACCCTAGGGAACCCCATGGGACAGTTCTAGTCTGTCATATAGGGTCACTATGAGTCGGAACAGACTGGAGGGCACGCAACAACAACGAACTGAATTAACATATTAGCTGTTTCAGGTATTTTTCCTCCTCCAAGTAGTCCCCACTTTGCACCAGGTGAGGGCAGCAAAGACACACCTATTCGTCTGTTCCCAGTGCAAACCAAAACCAAACCCCTTGCCAGCTAGTGGATTCCGACTCAGAGCGACCCTATAGAGCTAGAGTAGAACTGCCCCAAAAGTTTTCCAAGGAGCGGCTAGTGGGTTAAACTGCCGACCTTTTGGTTAGCAGCCGAGCTCTTAACCACTGCACCACCAGGGCTCCGTTCCCAGTCCAGTAGAAGCTTTTCTCACTAGCAAAACAAAACAAGCAAACAAAACAAAAAACCCCAAACCCGTGCAAATTCTCTTTCTGCAGTACTCACCGAAGGTCAGAGACTTAACTTTAAACTACATAAACATAAATGTGTCTCCTGAAAACCCTCGGCAATCCCAGCTGAGCAGGTCAGAATCAGCCAGGTTCCTGCCGTGGGATGATCAGATCGGGCGGATGAAGAGCGAATAAGGAAAGTGGCAGGTCCAGGGTCCTTGTGCTAACCTAAAAGAATATGAAACTCTGGATAAGGTGGAAAAATGGAAAAAAGAATGAAGAACCCAAAGATGAAAGTCAGTCCTTGGTCTGGACGCTGACAGTGGTAGCTAGTAATTCTGACTTCTGGTCAGCCTTTCTCCTTTGACTATTGCGGTGTCACCAAATTATATGAAAATGTCATTTAAGAAATGATAACATGCTTATGAGGGGTGACATTCTGAAAGTAAATCTTTAAAGAAACAACGAAAATAAGAGGAAAATGCTGTCAATAATTTGTGGTCACTATAGAAAAGAGATTTTACAAAAAGAATTTCTGGTTTTTAAAGGAATTTAAAATTAGTCTAGACCTTGTGGATCATACGTTTCTGGGAGTCATTGTTTATTTTATAGACCTTTTTTCAAATGACCAGCCTAACTGTTTCTAAGATTTTGGATGGACTCGCACGAAATTAAATATCTCTTTTAAATAGCACAGGTCTCTGAGTGGTGTAAATGGTTTACACACGACTAATAACCTAAAGTTTGGCAGTTTGAACGCATTCAGCAGAGCTTCGGAAGAAAGGGCTGGCCATTTGCTTTAGTAAAGATTGTAGCCAAGAAAATCCCGTGGAGCAGTTTTACTCTGTAACACATGGGGTCAACATGAGTCTGAACTGACTGGAGGTAATAGGTTTTTAAATAGCATATGTTTCTTTTTATTTCTAGGGATGAATATTTGAATTTTTCCTCGTTCTGCAGTTTAGTAGAAGGAACATCAGTTGGAATAAAAAATCCCTAGGCTGTGCAGTACAGAGTGTGAGTAAGCCTGGCTCAGCCACTTCCAGCTATGTGACCTTGGCCAATTACTTACTAACCATCAAGCCTAAATTTCCTCTGTGTTAGCAATATTAGTGATTGCTTAGAAACAGTGTGCGGGAGCGGTGTTTGCTGACTCATCGCCGTGAGGGGTCGCCTCCGCGCCATCGGCCTGCAGGGCCCGCCCAGCGGAGGCCGAGCTTCTCCCGGGCCCGCGCCTGCTGCGTCCAGCCCTTCAACCGATTACGTCCCGCCGGTCGTCCCAATCCCCGAGGCAGGGGCCCCGTAGCGAGTTAAGTGACCGAGGCTGAACAGCTCTCGTCTTCTCGCGGCTGCCATGTACCAGGCCCGCGCTGCCGCCCGCCTGCGGATCGTGCTGGGACACCTCGGCCACCCCGCGGCCGGGGCCGCCGTATCCTTTGGGGCGCGGGCTGCGCGGAGCTTGGGCTGGGAAGGCGCCGCCACCTCGGCCTCCGCGCCAGGCAGGGGCTCCTGGCGACCCCAGTCAGGATGGTGGCCTTAAGGGCGCATCGCACACCTGCCTGGTCTGGCGCTTCGCCTTCCTTTGCTCCTCTCCTCCCGGTGATGATCACATCTCTTCCAGGCGCTGGGAGGGGAGGGACGGGGGTGCAGCCTTAACCGCCGGTGGCCCCCAATTCCCCAAGAAGGAATTTGCCTTCCCAGCAGGCGCGTGACTGTCGTGGCCTCTGTGGCTGGTGTGGCCTCTCTCTACCATTCTGGGCCTTTTGGAAGCAGATCGCCAGCCCTGTCGTCCGATCCTCCTCTGGGTGGGCTCGAACCGCCAGCAGTCCAGCGCTTTACCGTTTGTGCCACCCAGGGACTCCTAGAGACATCAACGCACAGTCACATTGTAAACTGTAGCACATTCCCGGAAGGAATGAAGGCAGGCAGGCAACAGGGGCCCTCTCAGGAGCGGACACCAGCACTGGTGTAGGACCTAGAGTCCCAGCCACACCTGGGTCATGCCCCCTTCCGCGGAGGAGGTGGACACAGGGCACTGCCCTGGATCTGGCTTCTCCAGGTGGAATCTGTTCTTGGCCAGCGCCCTTCTGCTACTTCCTTTTCCGTGGGAGCTCTCTATGCCGCAGCCTGTGTGGGCCGGTGAACCCCATGAGGTTCTTAACATTGTTTCCTGGAAAAAGACTTAGTGCTGTGTGTCTGCCTCCTGATTTGGTGTTCAGAAATTAATCCTGGAGAGAATGTGTGTGCTAATGTTTTTGTAGATGTGTGGATCCAGAAAGATCCATAAATCAAATGCGTTATAGAACTGTTTTTGCCTGCTCAGATTAAGTGTTTCCATCCAGGGCAAAGTTTTGGAAGCTCCATGGAACACTGCGTGGGGTTTTTCTTTAAGTGACCTAATTAGCCTTTGTTCTCCTATATTTAGGATCCTGTCATCTCTCAAAGATTGCTGCTGCTTTTACTTTCATTATTGCTCTCACGGTTGAGTTTCAAAGCAGTCATGTATTGTAACTATGTAAGTTTAAAATTCTGTCCATAGAAAGATGGGGGAGCCCAGGTGATTATGTAATCTCATTTTACAGATGAGAAAATGGAGAAACCGACAGATTAAAAAGCTTGACCAAAGTCATTTAACTAACGCAGTGGTTGGTCAAGTGTGATCCAGGACCAGCAGCATCAGCATCACCTGGGAGCTTGCTAGAAATGCAAATTCCCACCTCAGACTGAATCAGAATCTCTGGTACCGGAGCTCAGCACTCTGTTGTAACTTGATGATTCCGATGCAAGCTAAATTTTGAGAACCGTTGATTTATCGGGTCTAGATATGACTGGGATTAGAATTAAAGTTTCCTTGTCCAGTCTCTTTCTGCTTTTAGAATTGGACATTCAGATCCTGTTGGTTTTTGTTATAACAGTGTTGAGGTTATTTGTTGTGTGCCATCTAATCCATTCCAACTCACAGCGACCCTATAGAACAGAGTATAACTGCCCCGTAGGGTTTCCAAGGAGCGACTGGTGGATTCGAACTGCCAAGCTTTTGGTTAGCAGTCAGCTCTTAACCACTTCGCCGCCATGGCTCTGTGGAATCTTTCTACCCAGCCTTAACTCTTTCTAAAGAAATGTGGATTATTGAAAAAGGACTCATCACTTTTGAAGTATAAAACAATGCAGGAGTAGTTGAGAGGGGAAAAAAACATTGGGTTGGAAGGCGGAAGTCTGGACTGTGTTGGCAGCCATATGTTGCTCAGAATAGCTGACCAAGGGCCTTAACCTCTCTGCTTTGGAGAAAACAGAAGTAGCTAGTAATTCTGACTTCTGGCCCACCTCTGTCCTTGACTATTGCAGTGTCACCAAATTATACAAAGATGTTATTTAAGAAATGTTAACATGTTTATGAGGAGTGACATTCTGACAGTAACTCTTTTTTATTTTATTTATTTATTTATAAACGTGTCTGACACTAACTCTTTAGGCTAAAGAAACAATAAGAAAAAAAAGAGACAATGAGATGCTGTGGTTTAGTGGGTAGAAAGAGATTTTACAAAAAGAATTTCTACTTCATGGAATTTAAAATTATGCTAGAAGGTATGAATCATACTTTTTTGGGAGACATTATTTATTTTATAGACTTTTTAAAAAATGACTAGCCAAACTATTTCTATTTTGGATTGGACTCCCGCTAAATTAAATACTTCTTTTGAATACCATGTTTCTCTTTATTTCTAGAGCTGAACATTTGAATTTTTATTCATTCAGCAGTTTAGTAGAAAGAACAGTCAGTTGGAAAAAAAACAAAAAATCTTAAGGCCCACACTCTTAGCCCTCCAGCCGAGGGTTCCTTGGCTGTATTGTAGGAATGATAATAAAGCTCCTGCTCTTTCTGCCAGCTTCCAGGCTATTGTGAAATGAAATGAAGTGGCGCAAGTGAAATGGCTTTAAGCAGCAGTACACGAATGACAGTGGTTATATGTGGAATTACATGGGCTGATATGGGTTCAGGAACAATCCTTTCTTATGAGAACCAATCAAGGGCAGACTGTTGTTTCTAAGAAAGGTAGCCTCCTAAATGTTACTTTATTTGCCTTAATTCATATACTAGGTAGCTTACCACACTTCAGAACTTGTATCCCCTGCCAATCTTTCCCATCAACAATTCCAGTGAGTAGATCTAATTTTAATTTTTAACTATTCTATGTAAGCGAAAGTTTTTTCTAGTTACAACTAGGATATAAAATACAGAATACCTGGTTGCCTGATTAGAATTCATTATACAATCCTCAGTTTCCAGGACTTGTTCTAATTAGTACAGTTGTAAAAATTTGAAGACCTAGGCCTTTATTTTCTATCTGTATTTTGAAATTCAGAAAGAAAGAAAAACATTAAAGTATTCTGAAATATTCAGGCATGATATATCTTGGTTACATCGACATGTTAGCTAGGATCTTTGGTTTATCTTAAATTTCCTTTAAAGGGGGAGACCTTGATCTCCACGGAATATTCTCAGAGAGCCACAATTCCGATCTAAAGGAGTGGATTGGGTGATTTGAGTTTTTTGAGCCCTGGTGGCATAGTGGTTAAGAGCTCAGCTGCTAACCAAAAAGTCGGCAGTTAGAATCCACAAGCCGCTCCTTGGAAACCCTATAGGGCAGTTCTGCTCTGTCGTATAGGGTCGCTATGAGTTGGAAGCAACGGCAACAGATTTGGTTTTGGTTTTTTTGGTGCATTATTTGGGTTTTGTTACTTTGATTACTTCTGAGAATGCATCAACTAGACATTTAAAAAAAGAAAAAACAACAACAAAATTTATTGAATTTGTTTCCTGTTTGAAAAATCATACATATCATTTATAGAAAAATTTAAAAATCAGAGAAATAGAAGTAATTTTTAAAAATTATCCATAATTTCATTAACGAAAGGCAATTACTGTTAAAATATTCTGGTGCATTTATTTGCAACCAGTTTTCTACAGATAATGTCTTTATTTTAGACAATTGTAATCCTATTTTACTATAATTGAACATGCTATTTTATGCTCTCCATTTTTAATGCCTGAGTCATAGTCCATTGAGTGGATATAATTAGTTAATTATTGTTTTGTGCTGTTGAGTTGATTCTGACTCATAGTGACCCTATAGAACAGAGTAGAACTGCTCCATAGGATTTCCTAGGCTGTAATCTTAATTATTCTTCCATTAATGCGCATTTTTGGGTGACCATAGTTAATGCTTTGTGCTTCATATGTTTTCCAATTTTCCAGATTATTTCCTTAGAACAAAGTCTTAGAAATATAAATGCTGGGTTGAACAGTATAAACATTTTGCAAGTTTTTGATACATATTGTAAGGCTGGGATTTAAAAATTGGAATTATTTGGGGATTTCTTTTTTCTCTTTTAGGTATACTCTGGATGATAATGTCCTAAGTCTGGAACAGAGACAATTTTATGAAGAAAATGGGTTTCTTATCATTAAAAGTCTGGTATCTGATGCTGATATTCAACGCTTTAGGTACAATAGCACTCGATTATTTTACAAAAATACGTATGTAATGGGAATGTAGGTTAGATTAGCTTGTACATGTTCAAATTTCTTTTTAATAATTTGATTGTTAGGAATGGGTAAAAGCATGGACTCCAGAAGCAGACTGCCTGACTTTGTTTTTATAGCTCCAACACTTAGTATTACGTGTCCTGGGGCAAGTTACTCAACCTTTCCACCCTCTGTTTTCTCCTCTGTAAAATGGGGATAATGATAGTACAGTACTTAAACCCTAGCATTCTTGTTAGGACTAAATAAGGTAAAGTGTACACAGAATATTATATACATGGTAAGTGCTACGGAAGTGTTTGCTATTATTATTATCATGATGATGTAACCAGATCACAAATATTTCCTCAATGGTGTCTTAGGCTAAGGATTATATTAATTCTGGTAGTGAACTCCAGCCTGACAGTTAAGAGGCCAGGACTTCAGAGTTGGCCGTTTTCTCCTCCCTCACAGAAAAATTTCTACCTAGAATTAGAGGCAGACTTTGTGCAGAGAACAACTCCTGGAGTCTGTGATCCTTCCATAGAGCAGGGCCAGGCAAGTGCTTGGAGTAAGCAGTACTGACATCATTTGCAAATTTAATTTTCTAGGGATGAATTTGAAAGGATCTGCAAAAAGGAGGTGGAACCAATGGGATTAAGGATAATGAGAGATAGGACCATTGCAAAATCGAAAACTGTTCTAAGTGAAAACGTGGTTTCAAAGATCCAAGATTTCCAAGAAGATGAGGAACTCTTCAGATACTGCACTCTCCCTGAGGTTAAAGACCTTCCTGTGTTTTATTTCTACTTGAGTTTATAGCAGGTCGGCTGCCTGCCTCTAGAATCTGCTGTTTTTACTTTACCCCTTTCTACATGTGGCTCTACAGCAGGTTGATTTCGCCCTCCTGGGGACATTCAACAATATCTGGAGACTCCAATTCTGGTGGCATCTAGTGGGTAGAGGCCAGGGATGCTGCTGAACATGCTACCCTCTTGCCTACAACAACAAAGAATTATCCAGCCCAAAAGTTCCATAGTGTCAAGATTGAGAAACCCTGCTTTAGAGTTTGCTAATTATCTTTTGTTGAGAAAGATGGGGAATTCTGTGTTAGAGAGAGAACCCTGCTAATACTTGATATGGGCGTATCAACAGAGGTGAAGTTGCTGAGGCTGTATCTTTGTAAACCCATTTATTTATTTTTTTCACTTTGTGAATCTGGTCAGTAGAAGTATGAGCTTATTTTTAAATTTAAACTAATTTTTTTAAAGTTATTATTCTTTAAAAGTAATTTATATATATGAAAAAAATCCAAGCAGTACAAGAGGGCATAAATTGAAAAGTAAAGTCTCCTTCCACCCCAGCCACACTCATGTTAAGCTTTTTGCATATTCATCTAGAATTATTTCATGTCCATGCAAGCATATTTGTATTCCCCTTGGGTACCTACTATGGGAACATACCTTGTTTTGTTCACTTACAGTGGATATTAGACATCTTTCCATAGCAGTATCTGTGGATCTATTGCATGCCTTTTAAACAACTGCATAGTATTTCATTGTATGAATGTACCATAACTTATTAAGCATTTGTTTAGAACAGTTTTGAAGAAGACTTTACATGTAGTACTTACTATAAATTATAACCAGGTGCCGTTAGAAAATTTAACTCAGTGAAGAAAGAATGTGCAGGTAAGCCACCTGTGATGACCAGTTTCTAGGGAGAGCAGCCGAAGGGAAGTGGCCCTTTGGACCATCCATGCTTCCCGACCTCAAGTCCTGTGATGGAAATGGAAGTTTTGTGGATGGATCGTTGACAAAAAGCTTGAGGTCAGAGGCAACAGATTGGTCTCCAGGACTTGTGGTGGATAAAGCACTATCATGACCTTGAAGTTTTCTACATTTCTAAAGTGTGGACCATGTATCTGGCGGTTCATGCAGGGATTTTAGGAGGTACACATTATTTTAATAGGTACTTATTTTAAAGTATATTAGGAAAAAATAAAACCCATGATTTCAAAAGAATATTATTAATTAGGGTCAGACTACGTAAAAGGAGTTAATTTAAATTAATTATTGACTAACTAGCAAAGTGTAGCAGGAATTGTGAAGATGGTTCTCCAGAAACAGGTTTAGAAAATCCTGGTCTAAGTGAACACCAGAGAAATGACAGGATTTAGAAAACAAAAAAAGAAAGAGGTCTGACTACTCCGAGGATTTTTGTAACATTTCAAGTGCTTCAGATTCAAATTGCCAAGATTCCTTATGCACAAGAAATCAAATAGGAAGAAGGAGAATGTGCCTCATTTTTTTTTTTTTTTTAACGGAAGCAGACTGTCACATCTTTCCTCTGTGGAACGGCTGGTGGGTTGGAACCGTGGACCTTGCCATTAGCAGTTGTGCGTAACCACTGTGCGGCCAGGGCTCCTATGATTACCTTCTAAAACCAAAAAACCTGTCGCCATGGAGTCAATTCCAACTCATAGCGACCCTACAGGGCAGAGTAGAACTGCCCCATAGGGTTTCCAAGGCTGTAATCTTTACAGGAGCAGACTGCCACATCTGTCTTCTGTGGAGTGGCTCATGGGTGCGAACCGTGTAGGTACCTGCAAAAGGCTTCAATGAAAATCATTTAATTTTCTATAGCTCTCATGATTTGCTGGTTCTGTAAAAGGTCAGAGCCTGCTACCAATGGCACCCTTTATGGGCAGGGATGGAGCCCTGGTGGTGCAACGGTTAAGAGCTAGGCTGCTAACCAAAAGGTCGGCAGTTCGAATCCACTCCTTGGAAACCCTATGGGGCAGTTATACTCCATCCTATAGCGTTGCTACCAGTCAGAACCGACTTGACAGCACATAACAAACAACAACATGGGCAGGGACAGTGGCTTAAATATGGACTGTCTCTATGCTCAGTGGTATCCCAGGTTTGGGAATACTACAAGGACCAGTGTTCCCTCCTCCCTCCCACTCTCTTTCTTTCCTTTCTTTTTTTTATTTTATTTTTTTATTGTACTTCAGGTGAAGGCTTACAGAACAAATAATTTCTCATCAAACAGAAGTGCACATGTTGTTTTATGACATTGGTTAACAACCCCACAACATATCAACCCTGTAACTTCTCAACCTTTTTTTTTTGGTGAAAATGCACATAGCCAAAGATACACCATTTCAAAAATTTCTACATGCACAGTTCAGTGACATTGACTACACGCTTCCAATTGTGCTGTTATTCTCACTTAAGATGAAGGCTTACAGAACAAAATAGTTTCTCATTTAACAG